CTCCTCTTCCTCTTCCCCTCCCCTTCTCTCTAGACACGATCTCACTGTGTAGTTCAGGCTGGCCTTGAACTCACAATGTAGCCCAGACTGGCCTCAAACTCATGTCAATCCTTCTATTTCAGCCTCCTGAGTGCTGGAATTACAGGCTAGCCTGTACAGTCAGAAGATTCAGCTTTCGTGAGGAAAGAGAATCCTTTTGGAGGAGGTGGGCTAGTTGTCCAAAGAATTAATCAGGACCTCACAGCTAAAAGTTTGCCTTCAGTCTCAGAGAAAACTTTGGAGTTGGACTTTTCAGCAATGCTGGAACTATTAGAACTTTGGCAACTCAAAGAGTTGAACTAAATGCATCTGGCAGCCAGGCGTGGTGGTGCACGCCTGTAATCCCAGCACTTGGGAGGCAGAAGCAGGAAGATTGACTAGAGTTGGAGTCAGCCTGAGCTACATGATTTCAGGGACGGCCTGAACTATAAAGTGAGACGCTGTGTCAAAAAAACAAAAAAACAAACAAAAAAAAATGCATCTGGCACGAAGATACCCAAGAAGCCAGGTGTGGTGGTGCACGCCTATAATCCCAACACTGAGAAGGCTGAGGCAGGAGGGTCACTGCAAGTTTGAAGCCAGCCTGAGCTACATGGTGAGACCCTGTCTCAAAAAATCAAAACAAAAACAAGCAAAGAGATGCAGAAGAACCAAGAAATGGAGGGAGGGGAAGTGAAAAGGATAGAAAAAGAATTGAGATGTGTAATGTACATGTTCCAGCTCCCCACTATGAATGTGGTTGTTGTGCACTGCAAACATGTACTAATGAAAATAAAAAATAAAGAGTGGGGTAAAAAAGAACATCACTGTACGCCCAGGACCTAGAAGTATACCTGGCTTATAGTAGGCACTTACTAAACACTTGTTAGACCAATAAATGAATACACAAATGCAAATACATATACATAAAATTATTCTTTCTACTAAAACTTACCATTTAATACATAGGGAGTTAAATATTGTTGACTCATTCCTCAGCAGTGCTATGACCACTCAGTTACTTGTCACAGACACTATGTAGCCCAGTCTAGCCTCAGACTCCCAGCAGTCCTCCTGCCTCAGCCTCCCAAATGCTGGAACTACAGGCACGTGCCACCACACGAGCTAATAAAGCTGATTTTTAAAAACTGATGCCCAAAACTGCAGGGATGATGGGCAGACAGTGCGAGGGCCTAGTCAGGAGGATATCAGAGGGTATAAACTCTTCCTTCTTTCTTGGGTCGCTAGTCTTTTTTCATACCTTTGTCCCTTGGCTGGGTTCCTCCCAGTTAGTCCTTCTGAGCCCTTCTCCTATGGGCAGTTTAGTGGGCAGCTGCAACACCTTCACCAACACTAGGTGATCTCTAGCCCAGTAGAGATGTTTACAAACTTTTTCATATTTTTTCATTTTTATTTATTTAGTTAGTTTTTTACAACAGGGCTCACTATGTAGTTGAGACTGACCTGCTGGTCTCAAACTCACAGTGATCCTCCTGCCTCAGCCTCCCGAGTGCTGGGATTATAGGCATGTGCCACTATGCCCGGCTTTTTCATATTTTTAAAAACTTATTCAGTTGTTTATTTTGAGACAGGGTGTCACTATGTAGTTCAAGATGGCCTTGAACTCATTATGTAGCCCAGGCTGGCCTTGAATTTATGCTGATCCTTCTGTCTCAACCTCCCAAGTACTGGGATTGCAGGTGTGAGCCACCACATCCAGTTTACAAACTTTTTAAAAGCAGCCAATCCCTTTTTCCAGGCAAACCTTTATGCAGAACCTCATTGAAACAAATAAATGTAATACGGTATCATATTAGGATACATTTACATTTTAAGTTCAATTTCATGACATCTTTGTGTTATAAAATCCTTCAGAGTTAAGAAGCCTGGTTTGATGAATTTTATATGTAGAACCATACATGTATATTATTTTAAGTTGCTATTTAAAAATTGTTAACATTATAATTAAAGTTTCTGGGTAAAAGTGGTAGAATTGAATATATGCATTTAAATTTGTTCTATTGAAACCCCACTAAAACCATAGGAAAAGCTTTTCTTTTTGTACCAGGCATCGAACTCGGGACCTTGGGCTTGCTAGGCAGGCAGTGGAACCACTGAGCTAAATCCCCGGCCCTAGCAAAGACTTTTTAAAGGCATAAATCCACAAGGAAAAGGAAGCAGAAGAGGAGACAAAAGCAAAATGTTTTAGAAAGCTAGATGGATGAGCAGTTATTGACTCAGACCAGGGAAGGATGACTGCCAAGGCAATAGCAGGGCAACTGTGTGGCAAAAAGTACTGGTTCTGCTGACCAGAGATGGGGCAGCCTCCACCAAGGGAGACACCAGACGCTGATGCCAGAGGCTCACTGCCGGGTCACTGTGCAGAGGAGCTCAGGATGGAAAAGGCCACTCATATATCCTTCTCATCAGCTTTTTGGTGCCCTACCCTTAAGAAAACCGAAGATTATGAGAACTCCAAGAAGATAATTTAACATGGAAAGACAGAGACCATAACAATATAAAAAGAAATTTGGAGCAAACATTATGCTGAAAGAAGAAAAATTAAAACAAAACTTTCAGTGGTAGCTTCCAAGATAAAAAGCTAAAACAAACTGAAACAAAATAAGGTGCTATAAAGATAAATCAAGAGTAATACAATCTTTAAAATAGAATGAAAAAGCAAGGTTGAGGAAGTCTCCTAGAAAATAAGACAAAGGCCGGGGATTTAGCCCAGTGGTTCCAGCGCCTGCCTTGCAAGCATAAGGTCCTGAGTTCGATCCCTGGTACAAAAAAAAAAAAAAAAAAAAAAAAAAAAAAAAAAAAAGAAAGAAAAGAAAAGAAAATACAATATACCAAAACTTAAAAAAAAAAAACACACAAAAAGGTGGAAAGTTGGAGAGAAAAATAAGAAATCAGAAGTCCTAGTCCAGTAGGTCTATCATCCAAATTTTAGGAGTTCTAAAACAGAACAGAGAAAATGGGAGGAAGCAGCTCATCAATGGGATGATCCAAGATTACTTCCTGGAAGGGTGTATAAATCAGTGGTAGACCGCTTGTCTATCCTGGGTTTAACTCTAGCGAGACACACACACACACACTCGCACTATTATAGATTTAAATTTGGAAGATAGGAGTTAGAAACTATATACAAGTGGCGGGGAGGGGAAGAGCGAAAAGAACTAAATTCTCAAATCTGTCCCTATTATTTGTGGGGGCTGAGGCAAGTTTCCAAAAGATTCACATACTAAACACTTCAGTGTTATGAATTAAGCTAATGAATTATAAAACATGTTCTAAATTCCTAAGTTTACAAAAATCTACTTTCATAGGGACTTGGAAAGCTAGGTTCTAAATTAGACCTTTTGGACTCTAGAATTCTGTATTAGAAATGGCAGTCCCAGGATCCTGACTCTTGTTTGAACCCCTGCCCTTTTGCTCTCGGTCATTGTTCTGCATTGAGAGAGCCTCATACCGTGGCCTGTGGACACCCTACTTATGCCTGAGCCTCTCTCTCTAAACAGTTGCCCTGTGACTACTCCTCAAGCCCAGGGATGCCCACAACAGCAAGGTCTCCTTGGGGAGGAGCGATTCAAGCAGAAGCTGGTGCGGTCCCAGAAGCAAACTAGGCAGGGAATTCCAGGGTCCTAGTATGTAGAATATGGTCCAGAAGGGGGTGAGTAGGCTCTGGATGGAATAGTCCCTTGGGTCAGTCAGCCTGTGGAGTGGGGGACTGGAGGAGGTCTGGAGAAAACGAAAGTCAATGCCAAAAGAGGCAGCTGAAAGAGGTGAGAATGGTTCTCTTTGGGGAGGGGAAGTTAATGGGGACGGGTCTGCTGTTTATCTTAACATATCTCATATAATTATTTGATTTTAAAATATGTGTTTGAATACTTCACTCACACACAAAAGCCAAGAAATAGGGTTGGGGTATAGATCGTTGGTAAAGTGTGAGGACCCGGACACACACACCTCCTTAAAATGTAAATTGTAGAAGTTTATGGATATCCTGTGTGGTGGCCCTCACTAACAGTCCTAGCTACTCTGGAGGCTGAGGCAGGATTGAGCCTATTTTGAGGCCAGTTTGGGCAACATAAACCCTGTTTCAAACAACAGAGGACACTTTATGTCTCCTCTGAACTACTGCTATGTCTAGAATTCTCAGTAGTAAAGTTTGTAAACCACAGAATTAGGCTCTCATTTGAGGCTATCTAGATATTTTTATGATTTAAAACCACATAGAAGTTTCTGTGGTGACCTCTAAAAGTTAATCCCACTTCCTTTTCCTCCCACTTGTCACCTTTAATTCAGGACTTCTACTTCGGGTTGGTTTTCTTACCTCTCCTCTGCTAGACTCTAAATTCCTGGCAATCAGGGACCTGCCTCAGAGTTTTCTGGGACTAAGGAACCTGGCAAAGAGTACAGCCTGAGGTTAAGTGTTCATAAATAAAAGAAACAGGCTTTGAAGCAAAGGAGCTCAATTCCTTTCTGTATCACTTATTTGAAGCCTTGTCAGTTGCTAGCCAGAGACCTTCCGCTTTATTCGTTAAATGGTTTTGGGTTACAAACTATCTTGTCCCTCACCTGCATGACATAATTTATCTCACTTTTTAAAAATTCCTATAAAAGACCAGGTGCTCCGTCTTCAGTTAACTGCTTGGTGGGTGCCAGATTTAAAAAATAACTTCAGAGTTAAGTGAGAAGCACCTGTATAACCTGAGGGCAGGGATTTTTGGAGGGGGTGAGGGGGTTAATGTCTCGTGCCTGGAACCGGTGCTCAATGTTAGAGTTAAATTTTAAAGATTTTTTTTTTTTTTGAGACAGGGCCTCATTATGTAGTTCAGACTGACCTGGAACTCACTATGTAGACCGGGCTGGTCTCGAACTCGCAGCGATTCTCCTGCCTCAGCCTCCCGAATGCTGAGATTACAGATGTGTGCCACCACACCCGGCTTAGAGTGGTAAATTTCAAAATGCTTTGCGAAGAGCAAACAGGACGAATGCCTCTTCCCATCCCCGATCCTTGTCTGGGACTCTGGCGGCCTTAGGTGTAGCGTGGGCAGCTGGCTGGGGAACGGGCGCCGCGGAATCAGAGACGCGCGGGCGGCGAGGACCGGGGACAGCGCTCCGCTAGGCGCAGCTCATGCTTTGCGAAGAGAACAGGACGAATGCCTCTTCCCATCCCCGATCCTTGTCTGGGACTCTGGCGGCCTTAGGTGTAGCGTGGGCAGCTGGCTGGGGAACGGGCGCCGCGGAATCAGAGACGCGCGGGCGGCGAGGACCGGGGAGAGAGCTCCGCTAGGCGCAGCTCAGCCCAGCA